TACCTTATGACACTGCAACTCCCCCTTTAGCTATATACACGACATAACTGAAAACAAATTCTCAAACTAATCCTTGCCTACAGATATTTGTAATAACACTATTCATAATAGCCAAAAGGGAAAAACAACCTAAATATCCCTATGAATGGAAGAATGAACAAAACCTTTGAGGTATATCCATACAACGGAATATTATTCAACCACAAAAAAGAATGAAGTACTGACACGTGCTGCAACATGATGAATCTTGAAAGCATTATGCTAAGTCAAAGATGCCAGCCAGACACAAAAGGTCACGTATTGTATAATTCCATGTATGTGAAATATCCAGAATTGGCAAATCCATAGAGACAGAAAGCAGTTTAGTGGTTGCCAGGGGGTGGTGACGTGTGCAAGGGAGAACAAAAAGTAACTGCTTAATGGAATTAAGGTTTTCTTTTAGAGTGATGAAAACGTTTTAGAAGTAGATTTTAAAATCACTGCAGGAGGGGGGAAAGGAGAAACATCTGTAACAAAAATAAATTAATAAAATTGCAAAAAATAAAAAACACTGCAAAACATTGTAAATGTACTAAATGCCACTGAATCGTACACATGAAGATGGTGAGCTTTATGTTATGTGAATTTCACCTCAAAAAAGTAAATCAGGATATCCAAATGTCCAATAAATATATGAAAAGGTAATCAACTTAATAATCAGTAAAATATAAATTAAGACTGCAGTAAGATTCTAATAGGTACCCATTAAAAAGGTTGAAATTAAGCCCAGTGACAAGACCAAGTGCTGGCGAGTATGCTAAAAAATGGGGTTCTCTATAATGAACACAATAAGCTGATGAACAAAATAGACCCAAAGACATAGAAAAGAGTAGGGTTCACACTGACAAACCTCAGGGAGAGGGTTGAAGGGAGGGAAGGGATAAACCAAAGAACTTATATGCATATATACACAACCAGTGGACATAGACAACAGTGCTGTGGGGGGTGGGGACAGGACTGGAAGAAGGGTGTCTAGGGGAAAAAAGGAGAAACATCTGTAACAAACATAAATTAATTATTTATAAAAATGTGATGCAATAGAAATATTGGTTTGTTAATTTTAATTTGTACAGTCTCATTATTATAGAACATTTTAATTTAAAAGTGGACAATAATTTGCATCTTGTTTTTTGATGGATATTGCAATTGTTTCTAATTTGGTATATTATGAACAAATCTACTATAAACATATGTATTGCTACACATATGCATCTGTATGACCTCTATAGTAAGCTAGAGGGTAAGAATGGGTTAACAACAGCAACTGTAACATGTCTGGTAAACTCTTCTGTTTATTTTTTAAACATACATTTTTTTTTCCTGAACAATTTGATAGTAGGTCCCTTATATAATATTCTTTACTCCTTACTACTTTAGTATTTCTTTCCTAAGAACATATATTAAGGGCTATAATTTCTGAGATATTGACAAGATATTACCCAGAAATTTTCCAAATGGATATTGTATATGTATTCCCACCAACAGAATTCCTTTCTATTCATGTTTTCATAGTATATGAGAGTGAGAGTCAATGTATACATGCTTAATCCATTCTGGTCATTATATTGTAGCAATTCATTATGGTTTTAATTATATCATTTTGAAAACTAATAATGTTGAGCATGTTTTAATAAATTAATTGGATATAATAGTAAAAAAAAGGGGGGGGTGTCTCAGACCAGGCTGGTGGCTGTGTATCTCTGAACAACCACAGTGGAAGACAATCCATGCACTGTCTGTTTGGTTGGAGGATTTGCATACCCTGTTAGTCAGCACTCCACTCTTAAACATAGAACCACAGAAATGTGTGTGCATATGTACCAAAGACATGTACAAGAATGTTCACAGACATACTACTATATCAGCCCAAAGTGGAAAAAAAAAGATTATTGAAGAAAAGTGGATAAACAATGCACATGGTATTAATACAGTGGAATATTATACAGTAGTGAAGATGGGTTAAATACAGCCACATAAAACAGCATAAATGAACTTAAAAAACTTAACATTCAGTGAAAAAAGCCAAATACCAAAGAAAACATCCTACATGTATCAAGTTCAAAATCAAGTAAAATGGAACTTTAGAATTTGGGGATACATGCTTAGGTACTAAAGTTATTTTTTAAAAGCAAGGAAGTGATCACCATGAAAATCAAAGCGAGTCAGGCTGATGTGGCTCAGTGGCTGAACGTCGACCCATGTACCAGGAGGTCGCCTGTTCAATTCCTGGTCAGGGCACATGGCCAAATTTTGGACCCAATCCCCAGTGCGGGGCATGCAGGAGGTGGCCGATCGATGTTCTTGCTCATCGATATTTCTATCTCTCTCTCCCTCTCCCTTCCTCTCTCTCTAAAATCAATAAAGAAAAATAAATGAATAAATACATAAATAAAAAGGAAATCAAAGTGATGGTTGCCTCTGAGGGGAGGGAGGGAATAACACAGCCAAAGGGCACAAGGAGCTTCTGGGGTTATGTTATTTTTTCACCGGTGATTTGTAGATGTTCGTACTGTGAGAAATAATTGGACTATAATTTTTTTAATCCTCACCCAAGGACATGTCTATTGATTTTAGAGAGAGAGGAAGGCAGAGAGAGAGACCAAGAGAGAAACATCATTGTGAAAGAGGAACATCAATTGGTTGCCACCAGTTCACCCCATGACTGGGGATCGAACCTGCGACGTAGGCATGTGTCCTGACTGGGAATCCAACCCACAACCTTCTGGTGTACGGGATAACACTCCAACAAACTGAGTCACTCAGCCAGGGTGGACTGTACTCTGTGTGTGTTCTTTTCTGAATGGATGTTATAGTTCACAATCAAACACATTAAAGAAAAGTAAATAATTTGCACATATTTGCATTTTATTATCTGGAACAAATGTCTTGTGACACTACCATCCCTGTCCTCACAACAACTTCATCTTCTGAAATAGAGGGTATTCCAATAACACTGTAACTTCACTACTCAGCCATGACCCCTTAGGGACACAAGGATAGATGTGGGGTGGCAACGGTCCCTTTGACGAGGGTCTCTTTAAACTGGGTGGGCCAGGAAACCCTGAGACGCCTTAGGACTTCGGAACTCTGCTCATCTGAAGGCCAGAGATAATAACAGTCCCTGCCCACCTCCCAGAGCAATTGTGAGGACTGAATGAATGAAGTATGAATGTGTTCACAGCTCTGCCTGAACATGTGAAGGGGTTTATACGTTTTAGCCTAACTGAACTACACGCAAAATTTGGTTTGCAAGAGGATATTTCACATGTCCAGGAAGATCCGCTTCAGAGTCCCAAAGGGACACCAAATACCCATCATTGCAAGTGACCCTACCCAGCCCTTTCAGCTCCTGAGGGTTTCCTGGTACTCCCTTTTTACATTATGGATGAGAACAGGATTTCCTTCCTCTGTGTTAGAAACCACAGCCCTGACCTGACATTCAGGGATCCAGCCTACAAGTGCAGGAGAGAAAGAAACACCACAGTGTCTCTCCCCAGAACCTTCTTCCTCTGGGGGGCAAGAAATGCAGCAAAGTTCACCGAAGACCACAGAACCTGCTCTCTGCTGCTGAGCTGGCAGTAACCTGTATCACATGCAAAATTGCAACGTTCCAACAGGGGCCGTGGTGCCGAGAAGCCAAAACTGGGCTTCAGCTGCCCTTTGATCTGCAAGAAATGCCAGGCTGCATGCTTTGGCAGGAAAAGCTGTCATCAAGTTTGGGTCTCGCTCCCAAGGAGACAAAGGTCTGGACTGCCCCAGGCTTCCTCCAGCACACAAAGAGTTAACCAAGGCCACCCGCTCAAGCTGTTTTCTTCAAGGAGACAGAGTTGTTCCTCTCCCACACCTCTATTGAGGCTGTGTACTAATCTCCTAAATCCAAAAGGAATCAGAGATGACTGCTGGAGAGCATAGTTCTCCCACAAAACTGCATGGAGCAAGGAAGGACTGGAGCCTGCACATCTGGGCTCAAGTCCTGCCTTTGGACCGGCTGCTTCCTAAGCCTGTTTCATCCTCAGTGTCCTCTTCTGTCAAAATGCCTGCACTGCTTTCTAACACAGCTATGGCAAAGATCAAGCCAAGAATTCTATCACTTATTTTCCGCCCAGGATATGCCAGCATGTGGAAAGCATGTTATTTCTAATATCTCACTTAACCTTCACCGCATCCCTAGGAGGTAAGGTGGTTTAATTATTCCCCTTTTTCGAATGAGAACATTGAGGACCAGAGAGATGAAATTTATTGTCCAAGGTCACCTAACCTAGGCACAATTTGAACCCACACTGCCTGACCCAACTTAGCAGACACCTATTTTAACTAATGCCCCACTATCCATCCAACTGCCTCTGGGTCCAGGTGGGAAAGGTGAGCCTTAGGGTACAGAAGAGCCCAGATGCCCTGGTTCCCAGCCCGTGGCTCTTCCCATCACTCATGGAGCCACTGCCGGTGGATGTGACTCCCTAGGTAACTCAGCGCTGTTAGGCACCAGAGCAATTCAGACCCGTTATTTCTTTCCAGGCAAAGGCGCCAGGTGTCTCTGCCGGCGGTCATGTTTCCGCACCTGTACAGGGAGGACACCAGACCTGCCCTTACAATGAGCTAGGCAGCACGCACGAGCTGGGCGCGGGCGCTGGGTCCAGCGAACCGTCCCCGCGGACCCTCGGGTGCCCTCGCTGTGCTTCCACAGTCCCTCTCTGCCCAAGACTGGAGGGGCTACTCCTAGCTTAGACATCTTGGGTGCCCAAACAGCGCTCCGTCCGCCCGGGCTGCCAGGACTCCCTTCCACCCCCGGAACCCATGCACTGCCCCGGGAAGCCGCGGCAAGACCGCCAGTGCGCACGGAGCGGCGAGAACTCCCTTTTATGTCCAGGAATGAGGCGCGCACTGCAGCCGCGCTCGCCGCCAAAACCAACTTCCCCCGGGCGCGCAGACAGCCGGTGCCATGGTCAGCCCGGGTCGCTTACCTGTCTCGGCGTGGGTCCGGGTAACAGAGGAGAGAAGCGCGGAGACCCAAAGCTGCCACAGCAGACACCAACACTGCCCGTTCCTCCTGCAAGAAGGGGCCGAGTGAGAGAAGGGGAGGCAGGCGAGAGGGGCCGAAGGGTCCAGGGCGCGGGACGCGTCTTACCTTGGCGCCATCTCGCGGGTCTGCCGATTGCCGAAGGCGCTGAGCCGCCGAGCCCCGCGGAGGCGAAGGGACGCTTCGCGCTGGCCGCCGCTCGCCCTTCCTGCAGGGAACAAAGGCGGCGCTGGGCAGTGGCCACGGCGGGCAGGCTCCCGGCTCCCGGCCCGCGTCCTGAGTCACCCGCGCTCTGAAACCCGACTCCACCGCGCCCTGCGCTCCCTCGCGCGCCGCGCCCCACCTCGGGCAGCGTTGGCGCGCTCCCACCCCAGGATCTCCCCACGCCCCTTTTCCCTTTCCTCTGCCTCGCGCTCCCGGCCGCCAGTTCCACCCCGAGAGGCATTAACTAACCTTCGAGAAAAGCCCCGAGTCCGACCCTGTCTGGGAAAGCAGAGGGCTCTCTCACACCCTCACGTCTGGCCCTGCCCGGGCTGCTCCTTGGGCAAAGCACTCTCCATTCGCACGCGGGTCAGTGGAATCCTTTCAACGGCCCAGGGAGGCTGCAATCACTGTGATTTTGACAAAAAAAGCAGGCTCAGAGAGGTGATGCCAATGTCCCAAGATCACACCGCTGGATTGAGCGCTTGGCCACTGTGCCCTGCCCTGCATGCATGACCCAGGAACCTACTGGAATGCCCCGGAGTAATCCAATTTGGACGACGTAATTGATACATATAACTAAATGCAGCAACGATAACCCTAATAAAAATTGTAAATGTATCTAATATTCCAGTTTTTTCCCTCTCTATACTTTGCCTGTACCCCCAACCCCCAAGTATAACCTCGCAGGAGGGCAAGGGTTTATATTTGTTTTGTTCTCTGCCTAAAATAGTCCCTGGTAGTAGGAGTTGCCAATACATAGGATGAACAAAGGGACACAGTCTTAGGTAAAACATCACTCCAGGCTCTGTGATGAGATGTTGAAGAAATGAATCAGTCTCAGCCTCCCCAAACCCTCCACGGGTGTGGCAAGGGGGGGGGGGGGCGGCACAGAGCAGACTATCCCACTTGCACAAAGCTTAGCACAAGGCCTGGCACTGGTGAAACCCCAAATAGTGGCTTTTTGTTGGGATGTAACTACCACCATGCCCAGCAGTGTAAGGTCTTAGAACTAGAGGAAGCAACGCGGAGGCCGGCTGAGACCTGGGCAGTTCTGAAGTCAGGCAAGCCCCAGGGGTCTTTCTTCCTGAATGCACCAAGTAAGCCATGGTGGGTTTGGGCTCTGTGTCAGTTCCTGGTTTTCATTTGGTATCGGGTCCTGGAGGGAGAGTCACCATCTGCCAAGTGAAAGGTAATTTGAATTAGCCTCGCAGAAGAGATGGGATGGGCATAAAAATGGTAGCTAACATTTATTGAGCGCCGATTATGTCCGAGGCCCTGTGTTAGATGCTTTGCCTGTGTTATCTCATTTAATCCCCACAACAGCCCTGGAAAAGTGGTACTGTAGTGATGCTCATTTCATAGATGAGAAAGCGGAGGTTTAAAATGAGCTCAAACTAGTGCATGACGGGTGTCAACACCCATGCTCTTTGCCACTCATACTACCTGTCCAAGAACAAGAGGATTAGACCCACTCCCCACCCCCAAGAACAAAATCGCACTGGAGACACAGAACACTCAGGCATGAAGTGTTATTGCCACCCAGGCAGTGAGGACTGGAAAGGGGCTCTGGGCAGGGGGTCAGGAGTCTGGCAAGGTCTGGTCCTAGCTGTAGAGTGACGTTGGGCAAACCCTGCCCTTGTCTGGTTTTTTATTTCTTTACCTGCATAATGGACGTGATGATCCTGACATGGCCAGTGGTGTGAGTCTCTCTGAGATCATTTGCATGCCCAGTGCTCTGTTCCTCATAAACCGCTGTGCCGATGTGAGGGGTCGGGTCTGGAATGCCAGCAGTCTTTGGAAAAGGGAGCAATCAATGTGGCCCGGAGAAGGCAGAAGAGGCTTCAAGGTGGAAGTGAAGTTAACCCAGGTTCTGGGGGCTACCGAGAGTAGGGGGGCAGAGAGGAGAAGGGGAAGCAGTACTAAGAAACACACCCAAGCAGTAAGTGGATAAGGACTCCTTGAGTGGGTGAGCAGGCCAGTGGGCAGGGAGGTGCTGGAGTGCTAAGACCTGAAGGGCAGGCTGGGTGTACATGGGTCATGAAGGCCATGTGAAATTATTGGTGTTCCCTGAGCATTTTGGAATCCCAGAACATCTACTGTGGACAAAGCCCTGAGAAACCTGATCCATCCATCTCCCTTCGGTTCCCATTTTATTGATAAAGAAACAGACCCAGAGAGAACATGCAATTTACCAAGTCACCTGCCCAATGAGTGACAGATTGACAAGTCACCGAGCCAAGGAGGAAGACTCGTAAGAGAGGGATGGAATGGGCAAGGTCTTGGGGTGTTGCAGAGTTCATATAGAGTCAGAAGATCCTCAAGGTGCTGAATTCTTTGTCATGGCAGAGACAGACCCTTTAACAAACAAGAGGTTGTAGAGAAGGAAGGAATTATGAGCAAGGGCTCTGGGGTCACACTGCCTTGGTGAATCCTTATGAGCTATAGAAAATGTAAGAAAATCTGTAAAATGAGGATGACAATGGTTTCTTCCTCCCAGGTTGTTGGGAGGATGCAAGGTGTTACTGATATAAAGCATTTATCAGAGCCCAGGCGGTGTGACTCAGAGGTTGAGCATCGACTCATGCACCAAGAGGTCACCAGTTCAATTCCCGGCCAGGGCACATGCCCAGGTTATAGGCCCAATCCCTACATGCCCAGTGAGGGGCATGCAGGAGGCAGCCAATCAATGTTCTCTCTCATCAATGTTTCTATCTCTCTCTTCCTTCCTCTCTTTCTAAAATCAATAAAGTAAAAAAATGAAAAATAAAAATAAATAAAGCATTTATCAGAGTGTCCAGCACAAGACAATGCTCAATGGATGCTGGCTTCTATTATTGGCGGTGGTGATATTCTGGCAGGGGACATGATAGGAGACCCCAGCCCAGCCTTCCAGGGGTGGAGGAACCAGCAGCCAAAGCAGCCCTAGAGCTAGGATCACCTGTGTGGAACTTACACAGGCAAAGGACATTCTAACAAACTTGTGCACTTCCCGCGTGTTTGTTAATCTGTTCATACTCCCTGTGAATATGAATTCCTTCCCACTTGCAGCCATACATGCCTTATTTTATTATGAATTACCAACCACGGGGAATTTGCCTTCTTAGTTCTCTGTTTGCCTGTTGCTTATAAAGTACCCTACCAACTGGGAATATAATTGACTTTCTTAGAACTACATTTCTATGTTGCTTAGACAGAGCCACATTGACCACAATTCTATAATCATAGTTTTATAATTGTGTTTGACAGTTAAAACCAGAGATTGCGAATTGGTGGCCATGGGTTCACTTCGGTTTGTAGATATGTTTTGTTCAGCTTGCCTGGTGACAAGTTCCAAATTAAATTAGTTAACAACATTTGATAATAAGTTGAATTTACATCAACATCTAGATTTCTGGCCTCTTTTAAAATTTTTGAAAAACCTGGCAACATGGGACCTGTCTTCCCCGCGACAGCATTTGGCTGGCATTGAAAGGGGCTCCTGGTGAAGGCACTGGTCTCCCCCAGGCATTGCCCGCACTCCTTAGTGTCCCCAACACCGCGGCTAAGACTCATTTGTCATTTATCATCACTCAGTCATTCTGCCCTTTCTCACAAAATCAGATAAAGTGGAATAGATTGAGTGCTCATGTCTCTGTTAAAAATGGGTAAAACAGATAGATAGATAGATAGATAGATAGATAGATAGATAGATAGATAGATGATACATAGATGAGCAGGAGAGCCATGTTTCAAGAAAGAGAAGAAAGTATTTCTACATGTTTAGTATGCAAATAAAACATATCCACCTTGAAAAAATGAAAGTAAGATGCCATTATGAAGCAAACCTGGTCCCCGTAATTATGTGTGTTATCTGAAGGATGGAGGCATAGCTTTATTTTGATTGGTGGGCTTAACTGGTCTAGCTCATCGGTCCCAGATACATGTGCTTAAGGCAGCAGGCTCCTTCACTACTCTGGCGGGGAGATCCCGTGTGCACATTTCACATTGTGTTGGTTCTCTGTAAGTATCTGATCATATCCAATTCACCGAAATCTAAAGATGAGAGTCCCCAAAGCACATTTCTCCCCTCCAAATGACTGGGGATAGATGCACACTAATATTGCTAATTTCATGCCTACTTCACCTGGGAAGTAAAGCCATGTTCACAGGCAGTACGGCTCTCACTTTGGACTTGGGCCTGGAGGTGGCAACTGTGACCTCAGACTGATGGAGGCCAGGGAGGGTGTCTGGCCTGTAAGCTGGAGGGGGTCCAAATGGCCCCAGCGCAGGTGTGGGAGGGATAGCGGCAAGATGCCAAACCAGGCATTTTGCTTCCAGCCAGACTGTGTTTTGAGAGTTTAAGCAATTTCCTTCCATTCAATATGAAGTTGTAGAAATAGCCAAGAGGAAGCTTCATGTCATACCCAAGCTAGTCTAAACTGTTTACCGTGGCTTCGGTTCAGTTTGCGAGATTGGCACGTGTGGAGACATGCAGATTTTCTGTCCTCTTCCAGACTCTCAGCTAAATTAATGGGCTGTTCCATTTTCCTACAGTCCATCCAAGTGTCCCTGAAAACGCAGTCTCCAAAAGCAGTCTCCAGACTGTCTCAAGCAACTGGAAGGGGAGCAAAACTCAGGAGAAGCATTCCAAATTTTGGTTGGGGAACAAGTTACCAGGCACACCATGCACGTCTTTCTGAACCTATTTTTTTAGTATAGCTAGTTAAGTCTGTTCTGCTATTTCTGCTCTTGAAATCAGATGAGGAGTCAAGCTTTGGGTACCTCCTGGGGTATTTCCAGTCATTTGTCTTGGATGTTGACCAGGGGCCTGAAAGATAAGGATGGATGATCAGGACAGGAGATTTAGGGAAGTGTCGTGCTTATCGACCTGTGAGAATGAGCACACAATTTGTTGGTCTTTGTATCTCACAATGAT